TACCTAGACAGCTAAACTTGCTACCTAAACCTGTTATTATAAATAATAAACTAAAATATGTTATAGAAGACGTTAAATAGATCTAGTTTAATAAAAAGAAACATATCTATAAATACTTTATAAAATAGACTAGATATAATAAACTGTTATAAGAACCTGTAGAAGCCTTATAAGAGAACTCTATAGTAACCTAATTCTACGCTTAATACCTATCTAAACTAAACCTGTACTCTAATAAAGACAACCTAATGCTAGAACTACTAATGTAAAGGATTCCCTTTCTAATAAGGGGGGGGGGGTACTGTTACAGTATCCTCTCTAGATCCTAGACATAACTGTATTAGATGTGTACTAGAGTATTATTAGTGCATGTCTAACATAAACATAACATAACATAGACATAAACTTAAGCATAAACTGCCTTAACACTAACTAAACCTAAAATAGGCTTAATTTATACCTAAAGCGCTTAGACTTCTAAGCTAAGTATTTAATTACTAATTTCCTTTTAAACTTTTCTATTCCTTACACAACGTCTTATACCTACTATAATACCTTACGTAGTAATTAAACTAGACCTCTGTGAAGCTCTATAACCTTACTTGTGCACAATTGTGATAGTTAGCTACTTATTACCCTTTACTATCCTTAGCTTATTAAAGGTAGTAATAATATTTAACTTTATAAAATACTTTGCTTTACTTAGTTAGCTTAAAGTTTTCTATAAAAAAAAAATTAAATATTAGTTTTTAATAGTAATAGTGTTTAGTCTTTAGTAGTTAATGTAGAATTAAAGCTTACCTCTAGGTTTCTTTATAAATAGTATAAGTAACACTACTAGTAAGAAGCTAGCTTAAATAAACCTTTTTTTTAAGTTCTTATTAAGGTATTTTTAGAGCACTTTAAATTTATTTAGTAACATCTTATATAGTAGCCTATAACTAGGTTGTTTACTAGGCTTAAAAGTTATTTAGTAATTATACAGACATTATATTAAAAGCTTATTAGACTTATCTTAAAAAAAGACATATAATAAGTTATAGTAGTTTTAAAGAACTATTATTCTTAGGTTAGTGTGTTTTTAAAGAGCTAAAGCTTAGTTTATATTAGAAATTATAACTATGTAGATTTTATAATCTAGTTATTAAGCTAAAGTTATAAATAAGGCAGGTCTTATATAGCAGATGTCTATCTGCTATTTAAGTCCTAGTTTATATTTAAATTAAGTAAGTAAAGATTTTTTAAAAGCTTTCTTTTCTTTAAGTTTAAGTAGTTATTAAATTATTTTACATAGCTTATCTTAGTAAAAGGCCTAGCTTGTTAGCCTTACTTAGGTAGTTTTTTTTTAAGTTATTAAAAAGTAGGTCTAAAGACCTTCTATATTAAGTGCTACTTAAGTGTTATTTAGGTGTAAGTATAAGCATATGTCTTAGCATTAAAAAGAGTTAAAGTTTAAGACTTACTTTTAGTAATTAAAAGTAACCTTATACTAATACAGCTATAGTTGTTCTAGGATTAGGTTATAACATCTTATGTTTATTATATAGAGCTTAATTTACTCTTTATAGTGTTAGTAAGTAATTATAATAGTTATAGTATAAAAGATAAAACTTTTTTTAAGTTATTTTCTATTAAATCTAGTTAGGTAAATTATTTAGGTAAGTAGTGTTAATTAAAGATTTAGTTTACATGCTAGTTTTTTATTAATGTAACTTATGCTATTTACTTCTAAGTTAATAAGAGCTTATATTAGAGCTAATATAGTTTTTTATTATAAATATATAAAAATATTAACTTAGTACTTCTAGTTATTAGTAGAGGACTTAGCCTATAAGTTAGTAAAGATCTAGTGTTAAATTAGTCCTAAAGGGTAACTTAGCCCTAGAACAAGCCTTTTTATAGGCTTCTACTGCTATAGCTGCGGCTATGTTAAAAGTAGTAAAAAAGATTAAAGCTTAAATATAAGTTAAAGCCTTTATAAAAATAAGATTAAAATAGTAAGAATTTTTAATAAGTGCTAGCAGCACTACTTACGCAGACTTAAAGAAAGGGAATAAAGTAGTTTTAGAAAATATAACTATGCTTACTGCACTTAAAGCATTAACTTTTTTTTTAATAATTTTTACACTTTCTAGAACTAACTAAAGCATAATTTAAATTAATTTTTATTATGTTAGAGTTTTTATTTATAACTGCGCTAGTTTAGAAGCGTATTAGGGCTTGTATAGAGAGGAACCTTATGTTATTATTATAGGTAGCAATTAAGTTTGCATATGTGTTAAGGTTGTTTAGGAGGGGTTCTTCTACTATAGCGCGTTATAGTTTAGTTAAGAGGGGGTTATATAAGGCTGTAATTAGACTTATTTTATTTAGGCCTATATTAGATATAAGTTAGTAGAACTTAGTAAAGTGTAAAGTAAAGCTTTTTTTTTTATTATAAAGTGTTTAAGTAACTTAGGGCTATTAACTTTTTATTTAAGTCTCTATAAGTTACTTATAAAAACACTATAAATTAATTTAGGTTAATAATATTTTTATTTATTAGTAAGTTAATTAAGGCTGTTATATTATAGTTAAGTTAAAAGTAAGCATATAGTAACTAAAAGTGTTTAAAAAGAAATTAGTTTATGTTTCCTTTAAGTTTATATTAAAGCTTATGTAGAAAGAAAAGTAGGTCTTTCTATTTTTTATTAAACAGTAAAGGATTAGGGTGTTAGTTAGATTTTATTACTAAATTAGAAAGGTTACAAGTTATAAGTAGTGTTAGGCAGAAAAAAGTTAAGCTATTTTTAGACTTTTAAGTAAGCTTTAAGGCTAGTAAGTTTTTAGTTCCTACTACTATAATAAAAGTTAAAGTAGAAATAGACTACTTAATAATATAAAGCTATTTTTTAAAGTTCTTTTAAAAAGCTTTAAAGCTTATAACATAGTAGCTTTTTTATAAAGTAAGCGCTTTTTAGAAGGCTTCTTAGCTTACTTTAATAGCTTAGAGTTATATAAGTACTAAGCTTATTAAATTAAATTTAGAGGCTATTCTTAGCTAGAGTTTTAATATAACATAATGTTATAATTATGCATAAGTAAGGTTATAAAGCTTTATAGAGGTCTAGTTTAATTACTACATAAGGTATTATAGTAAGTACAAGATATTATGTAAGAAATAAGAAAGTTTAAAAAGAAATTAGTAATTAAATACTTAGCTTAGAAGTCTAAGCGCTTTAGGTATAAATTAAGCCTATTCTAGGTTTAGTTAGTGTTAAAGCAGTTTATGCTTAAGTTTATGTCTGTATTGTGTTATGTTTGTGTTAGACGTGCACTAATAATACTCTAGTACGCGTCTAATACAGTTATGTCTGGGATCTGGGGAGGATACCGTGACAATACTATACTTAGCTTTAATATTCTTTATAAGGTTAAACTAGCTTTAAATTACTTTAGAACTCTTATAAAAGGCTTTTTTATAGTTATACTTATGTTTAAACTTTACTTTAAGCTTAAGATAACACTTTATAAACATACTGTTGCGTTTGCCAAAAGGTTAACCTCCCAGCTAGCACAGCAGAAGGATATATATAGACGGATAGCTGTACGCGACACACCCCCCAGCTCGAACCGTGGAACGAGAGAGGTGAAACATGGTGAAACAACCTTAACACACCCTTCCTCTAGCCTAAGCAACAGAACTTAGAGACAGATCTAAATACAAGGTAGCCTCTGTAATAGGCGCACTGCCTAAATACTCTTTGCTAAGCGTGGGGATTAAACACGCAGTGCTCTAGGATAATGCAATTCTACTAGTAGAGTAGGGGTGCGCAAATTTTTTAAGCGCTAACTATCTACACTACGCCGCGAACTAGGCTTATAACTGTTGCGTTTGCTAAAAGGTCAACCTCCCAGCTAGCACAGCAGAAGGATATATATAGACGGATAGCTGTACGCGACACATACTAAGCTAGTTTATGCTAACATAGCCTAAATTATGCTTAGTGCGTAAAGAATTAGCTATATTAGCTATAAATGCTATTTAAGGGAAAAGTTCTTGCGTATATAACTTAAGTATGTTCTTAATAATTACCTACTCTTTATTATTACCTAGCCTTTATAAGTTAGCTATAGAATTAGCTTATAAAAGTTATTTAGCGTTTTAGTTATTTATTATTTTTTTTAAAAGACTTTATATATAGCTGTAGCATATTTTTTTAAGAGTTTTACATTTTATTTAAAAGCTTAGAGTGTACACTATATCTAACATTCTTTTAGCATGTCTAAGTAGTGTTATTAGGAATGTATTAGTATAGGAAGAGTAGTTTAGTAGGGTCTTAGTAAAAGTAAGTAACTTAAGTGTGTAAACAACTTGCCTATAAAGTACGTTAGGTGCTAATAATATTGCTAGGTTACTAAGTCTCTACGCATTTCTATATGCCTTTAAGTGGATTTATACCGCGTTTAGACCCATTGCCTTGCCTGTGCTGTTACAACTAGTACTTTAATAGCTTTGTCAGATATGCGCACCTACTGTCAAGACAGGAGGAACGCTGGACGAAAGCTGCTACATAGTACGAGCAATAAGCTCGAACAGTATGTTGCTGCAAATTGCAGCATGTTGCAGCTGGTCGCGCATAGGGCTAGTGCGCGAGGGACTCGGACCGGAAAAACAAAGCCGAGCAACACGAGCAGAGCAGACAAAAAGAAAAAGAAACATCGATCAATTAATACAATCAATCATCATCCCATACATCATATCCAAAACCCATCATTCATCTCAGGAAGCCCAGAAACAGTGCTTTAATCTGACAAGCTTACTAGTTTTTAACACTGTATTTTTTTGGTTATTGTAGTAATATTTATTAATTTTTTAGTTTTAGTAATTTTAAATTTGCAAGCGTGTTCTTAATATAGTCTATATTAGTAGAGTTACTCTAATGTTTAAAATTAGCAAAATCTAGTGTGTGCGTGCGCTAGGCGAGACCGTGCGTTAGCTCATGAAATTTAGTATGTCATCACTTGATATTTTCTCTATCTCGTTCTTCTTCGCGTAGGGCAGGACTTTTACCTACACATCTTAAATATGCCTTCTAAACTGTATGGAGTACAGTCTAGGCGCTCTTACATCGGATACTGGATTACAGGGGCAGACGCAAGGACGGCATCCGGGAACAATTGAACTTGCAAAGGAATTGTCATTTCTACGAAATTTCCATCACCTCAACGCCTCATAACTTGTCAGCTACACTAAGGAAACAAGGAGGTATCAATCACATGACTGATCGCAAATCATATGCCGTTGGGTGGCAAGTGAAAAAAAGCAGGCCGAAAGTAAAAGCAAAGAGAAAAGACCAGCAACTTGGAAACACGTGGCCGCGAAGCTCGTTACCATAAAAGAGTTGAGTAGTCTCCAATCGCCCCATTGAAAACTCGTAGACCAAGACACGAAGAAAGAGATGAATAAAATGTGCATTAGGATCCGGGATGCAGGATGTCTATTGAAAGACTCCGCCAACTTGAAATAATAGTTGATTCGCCAAAGAAGAAAGGAGTGGATCGTGCTGGTGCCACTTTAGTATGCAAACATTCTTTCGAGATTCAAAGAAAAACTTACACGCCACATAAATGCCGCACAAGCGTGACAATTACAGCTGATATGAGCGCCCTTCGTCCTCGCCGGCTCAGTAATATACTTGTCAGACTTCTTCTCCGCCGAGTCCACGTATGAGGTGGAAGAGAACATTCCGTCGAAAGAAACGGACGGTTCTGTACTGAATCGCATGAAGTGATCGAACCGGTCTGCCGCCTTCTACTTGCATACCATAGAGAGACACATCCTAGTCCTATGATAAAGACCGTGACCTTAAACTGGGCGACTATATGTTCAACGATGCCTAGAAACCGGGGCATTGAGAATCGTAGAAACAAGAGAATCAGTATGGAGAACGCTAAGAATGTTGATATCGAGCAAATTAAGGGAACGAGGAATCCAGTAGAGGCAAAGAGTAGAGACTCTTCGAAACCTAGGTAGTATGCTGAACGCGTCCCTATTCCTGTCAAGCCGGAAGGTTCCCTTAAAATGCCTAAAGGAAGTTCATGTTGGAAAAGGAACCGAAGGGGTGTCCACCGGAACGAGAGCAGCATCCATAACCAGAGAAAAACGGCTAAGAGAGACCAGAGCTTAGCGGAGTAAGCATCGTCTATGGAATGCCAAGGTTGGCTTGGAGACTTGGGCATCATGCAGATGAGACGCTCGAGGAGTCGATCACTACCATTGGCCAGGGAAAGTCTGCGAAGGTTAGTATTTTTGAGTTTAATGTAGAATATGAGGGGGGTACATACCGAGCGAAAGCCTGGAAAGCAGAATCTTCACGGTCGGATATCCTGATACAGGCCCAAAAGTGAGGCTTTGTCCTGTAGGCTCTCTCATATATTAGGGTAGCAAACAAAGGCCGATATTGACAAGACAGAACGAGCCCCTCTTGCTCGGCTTTGGAAATCCCTCTGGCAGATTGAAGGAGAGAAGCGAAGATCTTGCTATCACGTCTAGGAGCATGCACTCGTTCCATGTGTCTGTCGAGCTCGTGGGTGCCACGGAAGCCCTTCTCGTCGCAGTGCGGGCATTTGACCCCTTCGTACTTGGGTCGAGAGTAGGGAGCTTTAGCGATAAGAGCAACGTCTTTCGACGAATCATCTCCCTCGCTGGTCCACCCAATCGAGGGATACGGAGTCCATGCGGGAAAATAATCCTCCCGAAAACATCCAATCCCTAGGCATCCTGTCGGCTCTTGAGCTGTACCTCTATCAAAGGCGATTGCATCTAGGGGAATATCCAACTGTGACGGCCTACTCTGGCTAGGAAAGGACGAACAAGCGGAAGTGAGCATGGTAATGGCGGAGGTGGGAATAGTGTACGCCACATTTGTGACTAGAGCTCATAGTCAGCTTCAGCATATTTTCGAAAGATTCTAATCCAACACGTACAAGTAGTTCCAAAGTCTACGGGAACACCAGGCCGGGTGCCGAGTTGAGAGTCCTCCTGCTTCCAGTTCTCAGTCTCTGTCAGAAGACTTCCAGGAGGCCGAAATTTGCCGAGTGAGCACAATGCCCTCATATTTAGGTCTGATCCACGAAAAGTTCGCTGGGTTCGTTCGTAGACTTTACTTGCTGTTGGCCGCAAACCAGCTTTGCCTTGTAACATATCGTCAATCAGATCCAGAACAGAGTTCCCCAAGTGCGAGAACCGAACGTGGTGCCTCAGGTTTGCATGCATTTTTCGCACTGCAGGTAGAATATCGGAACCATTGTGGAAGAGAGGAAATGGTCGCTCTCTTTTTGGCAGGTCGCGAAGACGCAGCTTCTCATACTCCACCAGACCTTTAGGACCGAGCACTGTCCACACTGCTGCTTCGGAGAAGACGCAGCCCAGTGACCATATGTCGATGGCTTGAGAAACGGGAGTTCGTTTGCCTTTGCCGTCGACACTTATGAGTTCTGGAGCACCTAGTATTATGGTCAGTAATTAAAGCAAAGACAGCTTCCATGCTTGTGTGCATACCGTAGGTAGGAGTACCCCCTTTCATAATCTGTTTAGCGACTCCGTCAATAGTTGTAGATGTTCTAGTGAACATGGAGAAACCAAAATCGGCAAGTTTAAATCGTCCACGGACACGGAGGATGTTGTCTGGCTTGATGTCTGCGTGCCACCCGTTCAATGATGATCCAGTGCAATTGTTGGCCGTGAGATTGTGGATCCTATTTAGGGCATCTGCAATCGCGAACAGGTTGTCCCAAAGAATTGCAATGTCTTCTGTTTTAACTGGAGGGGATTTGAGCCTGAAATACTCCGCGAGATCGCATTCTGCGTGCTCCAGGATGAGATTGTGGGACAAGACTCCCGTGGGATCTGCTTGCGTGAACGAACCAAAGCACTTAATAATGCCATCTTGCCCTCTTAATCTGGAAAAGGCCTCGCATTCCTGCTCATACATAGCTCGGTGCCGGTCATGATATGTCTTAAGCACAAAGATCTCAGGCTGCGATTTTGACGATGGGAATGGGACAAGTTTGAAAACGGATGCTGTGCCACCTTTTGTGTTTATTCTCTCTTTCCGCGCATTCTGTAGATGTACTCGAGAGATCTTCGAAAATGCTTGATCCTTCCGAAGAGTTCCAGCGTGGCGGTGTTCCGGGCATGTTCCAAAGGGGCACGGCTCTGTGAATATTAATCCTCCGCTCGACTGATCCTCCCCTGGATGATATATATTCTGTAGGATTTTAATCCCACAAATTCTGCAGCAGTACTTGCAAGGGGTGTTTGTGGTTTGCTTTACATGCTTCTGGTAATGTCTTCGTAGGTCGGCTGAGCGCAAGAAGATCGTTCCGCACTTAGGAAATGGACATTGAAGAGGAAGTGGTTGTGGATGGATAGCTTGGAACAGGGACGGAGGCCAACCTTGCGGCGCATAGGTGGATCTATTTGAGATGTGATCCTTAGGATATTGGCTCTTGAGATGTTGGCACTCGGGATATTGCAACACGGTTTCTTCGGGGAATAAGAACTGCGTTAGAGTTTCGTCTCCAGATCCACGTTTATCTGACGAGCAGTCGCGCTCTCTTTCTTCTGGTATTTCAGGACAGGTCACAATATTATCCCGTATAGTATTCCGTATAGCGGCCTTCTTCATATTCGAGATCCCCGCCCCGAAAAAGTCGCCCAGACCGCTATGGAAGTCGTTAAACAAATCATCTCCCTCAGTGGGAGGCTGGAACGAAGGAGGATCCCTTTGAGTATCAGGTTTAGCAGCTAAGTCTGTGTCCGACCCCCCATCAGTGCGGCTATCGCTGTCGTTGTCGTCATCATCACCATCGTCCGAATTTGTATCGCTAAGCTCTTCATCTTCAGGGTCGTCATCTTCAACATCATCCTCGGGCCAGTCACGCCACGAACTCATCGTAACCCCTTTTTTGAAATGGACCTTCTCAATATGGGCACACCGGTGGGCCCAGTTTCGAGCATGGAACCTATTTCGATCGCAGAAGCCACAGTCCCCAGGGAAAGGGGCTGGGTAAGGCACCATTGAGCTAAAAATTGCCAAGCGTGCGGGCGAATCAGTATGTTGTTTGCGCATATGCTCCTGGAATTTGTCCTTCCTTGTAAACAGGTACCGCTTGGACGCATCGTCAAGGTTCCCGCACCCGTCTCTAGTACAAAACCAGAAAGATTGCGGATAGATCAATTCCAAATGTCGTCGCCATTCGCAGGGATTCTTGAAACTTCGGCCGCATCCGACAATGCAATGATACAGTCCGGATTGCGTCTCGTGAGTACGGATTCTCTTACATCCATGTTCCTTGGCGTTATCAATTGTGCGTTGGATAAGAGAGCGAAGACTTTCCGTAATGTCCACGTGCGGTTCCGTAGAGTTGCCGGGAATCGAGTTGACCACCCTCGAGGAATAGTTGCTTGAAGAGGTATTAGGTTCAGTATCGAGGTCTATGGCAGTGGCCCAAGAAACTGGTTCATGAAGATCAATGGAGGAATACTGCGGCGCAACGGAGGAAGGCGCCAAGGCAAGTTGGTGGGTTGTAGCGAGTGGGAGTGCAGTGGGAGCATGGAGAGGATCAAATGTCGGAAAATCACCGAGATCAGGGACGATGTTGTTGTTATTTAAAAGTACGTGGGTTGGTTTGTCCTGTTGGATTTTCCCAGAGAGGCTTGAGATTTGACTATAGTTGTCGTTTAAATCGAACTGCATAAAACGGGCCTGGATAGCATCCTCGGGGGCCTCGATCAATCCGCGGAAGAAGAGGAGCTCGTTCTTGGAGGGCTGTCTGCGATTACAGTTGACATACCATTCATACAACCATTTATCCCATTTTGCATCAATCCCTGAGTCGTAGTATCCGGAGTCCACGTCAACCGGGTTAGAAGGCTGCGAATGATCAGCGGGTCACACGACTTTGAGCTGCTAAACTTACATAGCTGGACGAGTTCGAAGCATCAGATAGGTCCGAGAATGTGCTAGAGAAGTTGTTGAATCCTTGAGGCACTAAATGATTGTTAAGGATTGGTGCCGCCGGCGACGTAATTGGAGCAGCAGGATCGCGCCAAGGAGGCTGATGATCGCTCATTATCGTCAATTGAGTTACTCTCTTGGTTTGTATGTATTCCGCAGCTGTTTATGGTTCGGTCAAGGTTTCAGAGGAATTGAGCAGCTGGGAAGGCATGGAAAGTTTAACGAGCCTACCCACGTAATTAAGGCAGGTTTGCGAAGGACCTCTGCAAGGCGAGGGTGAGAGCTTCCCGCCCTGCCTCGTCCCTTTGCCAAGCGCATGCCGAGATTTAGAGCCTCTTACTTGCACAGTAAGTTCTGAAATCTATCCGCGCATTCGCTACAGAATGATAAAGCATAGAACTTCAGCTAACCGCTAACAGACAAAGTAATAATAACAAAAATCCTGGCAAGGCAATGGGAAAAGAATACTATCCGCGGCGTCGTCAGTCGCCCTCGGTTAGCATCCAGTGAACGTTCCAAAACTCTCGCACTAGCTCATGCAGGACTTCCTCAAGGCTGACTCGCTGCAAAAGAAAGGTGGCACAGCCACAAGCCGCGGGGGCAGTGCAGCGCGTAATTTTCCCCTCTACCTAAACTTAGGCAGGGCGAGTTCTAAGGACTAGTTCTCGAGAATGTTAGCAGATCTTTGACTGAATACTAGGAGATAATTGCCTTGGGGCATTAACAGAACGCAGAAGCATCGAATGTCAGCAATGAATCAGGCAACAACTGTGGAAGGAAACGACCCTTGACTCAGCATACAGTGTACTATGACATGGTACCAGCTTTTGCGTTCCTGTAAAGCCAATAATAGCGAAAAAGTGCAAGAATAAATCCAGCTCCACTAGTTGTTTAAGCAGCAAGAACAACCTACGGCCTGTGTCCTCCCAAATCTCTACCTCAGCTCTGTTTCTGCGACCTCAAATCTTCCATCCCTCCCACATAAGAGAATTATACACGTTCTTTTAATTAGCAGATCGCCCTCAGCAGCTAATCACGTTCAAAACTTTATAAGTAAATATAACACTTATTTAAAACTTTATTATATAAAAGTTATAAATTTTATTTTTATAAAGTTTATACTAAGTAGTAGTGTTATATATAAGTGTAAACTACTTTTATATAACTATAAATGTCTGTACGTAGCAACAGTGTTACAGTCTGGATAGTTATCGCGCGAGAGAAGGATCATGTAACTATGTCACATGATGCTTGTGCGCAAACCTCTGTGCGCGAACATCTAGATATTCCCCTTTTCCTCTAACAGAGGAAAGAAAGAGCAATACAGAACTAGAAACATGTTGCCCCTACCCTACCTACTTTGTACGCTGTGCACACTGTACACTACTCTTACTTTTACTACTTAAGTGCTTATACTATAAGCAGCTAGCTAACAGAGCCTATTTAACACTAATTAGTAGTTAATTTAATTAACTATAAATTAGTAAAAGTAATAATAGAGTACTTACACCTTATAAAGTTGTCAGATTAAAGCACTGTTTCTGGGCTTCCTGAGATGAATGATGGGTTTTGGATATGATGTATGAGATGATGATTGATTGTATTGATTGATCGATTTTTTTTGTCTGCTCTGCTTGTGTTGCTCGGCTTTGTTTTTCCGGTCCGAGTCCCTCGCGCACTAGCCCTATGCGCGACTAGCTTGCAACATGCTGCAATTTGTTGCAAAATGCTGCAACATGCAGCAATTTGTTGCAAAATGCTGCAACATGCAGCAATTTGCAGCAACATACTGTTCGAGCTTATTGCTCGTACTATGTAGCAGCTTTCGTCCAGCGTTCCTCCTGTCTTGACAGTAGGTGCGCATATCTAACAAAAGTACTTTATTTTATTACTTATTTTTAAAGATAGTAGATTAATTCTTTACATTATACAGTAAGCTCTACTCCTGTATAAAGTAAGAAGAAGATAGTGTAAGACGCACACTAAAGCTATTAAAGCTGCACAACCTAGCAGCTAGATAATAGCAGTACCTACATAATCTACTAGAAAAGCAATTAACTATACTATTATAATAAAACCTTACTAGTAACTAACAACTCTATGTAATAATAAAAAGAATAAAAAATAATTTTTATTATATAAATAACTTATAAAGAACATAAAAATATTAAAGGTAACACTATAAAATAAGACTAGCTTAAAGTACTAGAATAATAAGATTAACATATTAAAAGCTTTAATAACCTTATAAATCTAATTATATATAAGTTATATAATTACTAATCTACATATAATAACTTAAAAAAGTGCTACTGTTTTAAGTTTATATATAAAAAATTTTAAAAAATAAATACTATAAAACTTTTTAGCACTTAGCTATGTGTTTAAAAAAGAGCTTATATAAGTACTAAAAAATAAAAGAATTACACTATAGCTAAGTAATAAAAGTACTTAAGCCTAAAAGCTGTATAATATAGTATAAAAAAAGTAATTACACTTAAAAGGCTTTATATATAACCTTTATTACTATATAAAGCTTTATATAAAAGTAGACTAAACATAATGGTACTGATAACACTAAATGTACTAGTATTACCTGCTTCTATACCTTAGCTAGTACTACACTAATTACTATATAAACAATACATGCTATCCTATCTAACGCCTGCCCCACACTCTTAATTGTACACACTACTGCCTGCTATAGTGTATGCACTACTAATGCTACTTATATAATCTTTACTATATTATAACTTAACTATATAAACTTCTACTTTAAAAAGAAATTACTAAAAAAAACTTTTTAGTAAATAAAATTATATAATTTTAAAAAGCATAAAAAAATTAATAACTATATAAGTTAACTATATAACATTTTTATAAATAAAATAAAGATCTTTATTAATTTATGTTAACGTACTTTACAGGCAAGTTGCTTACACACCTAAGTTGCTTACTTTTGCTAAGACTTTACTAAACTACTTTTTCTATACTAATGTATTTCTAACAACTGTTAGATTGAAGCACTGTTTCTAGGCTTCCTGAGATGAATGATGGGTTTGGATATGATGTATGGGATGATGATTGATTGTATTGATTTATCAATCCTTTTTCTGCTCTACTCGTGTTGCTCGGCTTTTTGTTTTGCCGATCCGAGTCCCTCGCGCACTTGCCCTATGCGCGACCAGCTTGCAACATGCTGCAATTTGCTGCAAAATGCTGCAAAATGCTGTAACATGCTGCAATTTGCTGCAACATGCTGCAATTTGCAGCAACATACTGTTCGAGCTTATTGCTCGTACTATGTAGCAGCTTTCGTCAAGCGTTCCTCCTGTCTTGACAGTAGGTGCGCATATCTGACAACAACACTACTTAGACGCGCTAAAAGAATGTTAGATATAGCTTATACTTTAAGCTTTTAAATAAGACATAAAACTTTTAAAGAAACATGCTGCAGCTATATATAAAGTTTTTTAAAAAATAATAAATAACTATAGCGCTAGATAACTTTTATAAGCTAATTCTATAGCTAACTTATAAAGGCTAAGTAATAAGAAGAAGTAGGTAATTATTAAGACTATACTTAAGCTATATGCGTAAGAATTTTCCC